TCGTAAGTCGGACATAAACATAAATTTCAAACACAAATTCAAATCACAGCAAAATTGACTCGTTTTATCAAAATAATCTGTAAGCATAAGATATCGAGTGTCATGTAAGGTAAAAGGTACGTGTGCGTATCAAAGAGAAATCTACTGTAACAACAATCTAGGAGAGATATATGCCGTTAGTTTGAAACAACAGAAATTGCAGCTTGTATATCATTGATATTAAAATCATTCAATTATCGCTTCCGAAACTGACAATCCCCGACGCGCATCTTCCAAGACAATAATCTCATGCAGCATCTTTCTCTCTCTCTCTTTCTCTCTTTCTTTCGCTCTCTCGGTTGGCGCTTATCTTGCTCTTGAATTTCCTTCTCTCTCTCTCTCTCTCTCTCTCTCTCTTTCTCTCTCTCTCTCTCTCTCTCTCTCTCTCTCTGTTGCAGCAGACAATACGCTATCCACTCATGGCATCTATCTTTCTGTGTAGTTGCTGTATGCGAGTGTGCACCTACTTCGCCGGTCGGCCGGTACGTGTTTTTTTTGCATCACGGTGCAGATGGGCATCATGCTCGCTGCTGCTGCGCCTTTTACCTATAATGCGCTTTAGCGTTCAAGCACGTGAGATTCCTCTTCTCCTTTCCATTTCTTTGCTTTCCTTTTTTTTCTGTATCCCTCTCGCAAGCGCTCATATCAGATGTACGCACACCCAGCGAAAGGCTTTTACTTTGCACACGACGTCCCACGTTCTATTTCTTCGGGAATTCGATTTATTCGCGATTCGACTTTTAGAAAGAGTCAAAGAGAGAGAGAGAGAGAGAGCCATTGTTCTGTTTTGTCGCCCGAGAGAAAAGCTTTTCCGCAACATTCCGTCGTTTGATGCCTCGATGTTTTAGCAAATATTTGACGTTTATCGCTACGAGAAACACTGCCTTTGATGTTTTATGTCTGTAAAAAGTCATGATGCTGTAAAAGACTAGTTTGTTTCCGGATCAGTGACAATAAAAAACAAAACCGCAAGAAACCGAAAATGGAAAAAAACAAGGAAGAAAAAATAATCATAAATCACATTATAGTGCGTCAAGCGTTAGGGATGCGAGACAGGACAAACCGTCAGAAAATCAGAGGAGAGCCTACATGTGTGTACGCACATACACATATAGACGCATGCACACACAGAGGCGCACGTGTCACATGGGGAACATCAGTCACCACGAGAGCAAAGCGTCGCGACGCCCCGTTTTTTTTCATTAAATTCTCCAGGCAGCCACCAGGAAAAATATAATAAGTAGATCGTCCAGCTAGGCAGGGCTTTATTGATGATGCGGTGTATACGCGAGACACAGCAAAAAAAAAAAAGTCACATACAGTGGTGGAATAAAAGGAAGAGAAAAGCCAGGTTGCAGAGAGACACGTTCTCGAGACTTGAAAAAGTCGTTGGCCGGTTAGGTGACTCGTGCAATATTAGCGCGTGATAAAGCGCCGGCGCTTCTCGCGAGCTTGCTGACGCTTCCGGGATATAGTCGAGTGCCCGCTGCGATAACCTTTCTCCTTCCCTTTTCCTCTCCCTCTGTTCACAGACTGTTTCATCATGTTCGCCACTACGGATATTGGGCTTTCAGCTTTATTGCCCGCTATACTTCTTTCGCGATTTTAAGCTTCCAGCGTTATCGAGCCTTAATTGAATGCGAACTGTTTTCCAGGCTATAATACAAAATTAAATAAACGATTTTCAACACTGTCGGATGAGTTTTCTAACACAAAATAGAATAATTGCTATTCATTGGTTATTTTTCAAATTTGAATTTATTTCACAAGCGTATGTTAAGCGCGGACATTGTTTGTCCCCCCGACGCATACATGTAGATATGACGAGGACTAAAGGAAAGATGAAGCTGCACCCTCGCATTGTCGGGGAACAGAGAGAAAAAATGATCGGCGGCGATAGTCACCAGAAGTCCTTTGTCGCGAAAAACTCGCGTGTGGGTTCGCAATCATTCGACCGATTAGGGACTCAATGGGACATTTTATCGTGCCATCAGGCTCGCCGTCCTCCACGCTCTTTTTATTTCTCATCATTGTCGGCTTTATTATATGCATCTGCGCTCTTATAATCGCGCCTCTCTCGCGCGTCAAACTCGTTTTGAGAGCGGCAGAACGAGATGATTAATAAGTATGTTTCGGAAATGAGTCGGGCGCAATCCATTTGTCACTGGTAATTGACAAGCTTGAATTGATGGAACTTTTAATTGGGATTCTCTTCTTATTTCTCTTTGTTTATCGACTTCTGGCTTTCACTTGGGCGCCTTTGTCCATCTACACCGTGAGCGCGTGAGCGCGTGCGCGCAGCAAGCACTTTCGACGAATGAATATCAATGCTTCGATAATGGATTAGAATGTGTACACCTGTCACGTGGATAGAGGCAAACTTTCATATTTCATGCGCGTAACGATCACGGTTGTCACGAGAAATCGGCCGCCACACAATTGACCGATCGGCTCGAACCCCGAAAAACGCTCGATTCTTCAAATTATAAAGCCGATATCTGGATTTAACGAGTACAGTGTGCACGTATCTGAACAGCGTTCAAATTGTCTTGTCGAGCGCAAAATACAGCTTGTCTCGCGTAACGGGCATTGATTTACAAAGTTGAGAAAGAGCGAGCGCGAGGAAGGCAGCCCTCTGCGCGCGCGCGCGCGCGAAACTTGATCTCCATTATCCAATAATCCCCTGCAACACGCGAGTGTATAAGGTACGGCGGCGCGATAAATTTTCCATTTGCGATCCGCCGCGCGCGGAGCCGACGTAAAGAACCCTTAAACACTCAATCGTCGATAATTAATGCGACCAGCATTTATGATATCCGGCGGAAAAACAAAAGAATCATTCGCTATTCTCTCTCTCTCTCTCTCTCTCTCTCTCTCTCTCTCTCTCTCTTTCCCTCGCGCGCGTACGCGTGCACGACGAGTCAGCTGAAATATAAGGCAGCCTATTTTCGCCGCTGGCACTTACATATATATACAACGTTCGACAAGCGCGCGGTCCCGAGTAAGATATGCAGCCAGAAAAACAAAACGCCAGCTTGGACGGCCCCTTTCATACGACACGCCGTACGCTCGGCCCTTCTGCGAATGCAAGCCGAGCAAAAAAATCGCAAGACCAAACGCGTTCGCGCGTCCATCTTTCAATGGGCGCCGACTGAAGCTTTAATTTTCCGTTGAGCGCCAGATTTTCATCTATCCGCTGCAGCCGTCTGCGCGGCCGTTTCATAACGGCGTGCGAGCGGCGAGCGAGGGAGACACTTGTTAGGGAGTTACGTAAGCCTGCAAACTGGTCCGTCGGCTGCGTACGCCGCGTGTATCGGATGTTTAATTAAATGCCGGGAGAGACTCTCTTTCGCCACCGGGGAATGTTTGTACATTGTCTTACAATGCTAAATACTGCGACGGTGGCGGCCTCCGATCTGATAAGAGAATTACGCTAAGAACTTCATTTCTTTGCACTGTATTTATGCGCTTATCTCTCTAGTCCCATCTCCGATCTCCTTCTCAAGGAATGACGCGGCGCCTTTCGGCAACGCCTATGCCTCCTTGCTTTTTTTTCGTTTCCTAATAATTTAATGTTACGCAAAAACTGATTGGTAATTTTTTTCGACTTATTGAAAACAAGGGAAACACATTATTTCAACTTTGAAAAGACCGCTTATAAGTCAAGCTGGCTGCCCGAGCGAATCTTGGTGAAGAGAAAATATTGTATTCTTGTTCCTCTGATTACGAGTGTTGTATATATATATATATATATATATATATATATATATATATATATATACATACTTTGTCAATTGTATTTACTCAGGTGGAGCAGCGATGAGAATTCAAGGGAACCAGGCGAAATAGGTAGGTCAGAGAGAGACAGAAAGCCGCCTAATCGATATATCGATTGTCAATAATTCACGCGGACGCAGCATGCAATCTGAAGCTCTTATCTCGAATCATATATATCTGAGTAAGAGCGAGGCGAATCAAGAGTGCGAAGACCCCGTGGCGTTTGGATTAAAAGATCCCCTTGCCGCGCACACATACGTCCGCGTGTCGGAAACAATAGGGCTGGCTGGCACCTTTTAGAAAATTAAATTTTTTGCTTTTCTTTCCTCTTTTGCCGGCGACGAAGATAGTACGCTTCAACAATTCATGCACATCGTTGGAATTTACTACAGCTCGCGCTCGATGCTGTACACGCTCTCTCGAGTGAAGGATGTACGACCGAGGGAATTGGGGAAGAGTGCGTGCGAAAGTCGTAATTTTTTTTTTTTTTGCTGCTGTCCGCTTGAGTTATGTTTGACTTTGACGATCTTTTGATAACTCGCGTCGTTTTTCATCGGCGCGACTTGCTCTGCGTTTAGACGAATGAATTCGTGACTGCGCGGCACTTTCTTGAATTTACGCTTATGTTTCTCTAGCTTCGCGGTATATAGCTTGACAGTTGAGTTTTCAAACTTTTGATTTGGGTGCCGCCGCCGTTGCCACTGCGGCTCTTGCTGTATTTTATTCATGTTTATGTTAAAGCTGTCTGCATCTATGCATCCTAGAGTAGACATTATAAAATGAATACATTTTTAAGAATACATCGGTCGAAAATATTTTACATCAGTCATATAGCATAATATTTCCGAAAAGGGCATAAATAGATTGCTTATGCAAGTAAAATATTGCATCTGTAAGGATAAAGAAATTCGTTACCGTCAATTTTGTTTCGCAATATTATTCGCCAAGCGCGATACCGAAATTTTTTAACAAACGACTAACGAAACGAAATGATAAAGACAGCCGTAAAAGTATCTTTTTTCGAAGTTAAAATGAAAACTATTGCGTCGCACATATGAAAAAATATTACACGTGTCGGAGTGAACTAATCCAAACAGACATTAAAATGAAAGACGTCACTTTTTTGTAACAGTATGCGAATGTAATAAAAATGTAATGCCTCGCTCGAGTGCTTACACACGATGCAATATTATGATTGCAGTTCTCAATTGCTCGTTGGTGAATTCGTTAGTGAACTCATGCAAAAAGCATACGGAATATCATGCGCATAAACATTATGATGGTAAAGTACATATTGCACTTTCAATCGGTTACATTGCATTAACCTCCTTTTTTTAACATCTCTTTTTCATGTGTAAAAAAACGAAAAAAAATTTCTCCGATTCATATTTCGCTATTGTCAATTCCCAAGTCCAAGAAAAAACAAGTAGCTCTTGCGTTAAATCTTTAATAAGCAACTTTCGGTTGTATCTGAATCTGTTCGAAAGCGCAATCAATCACCATCAGAGACAGCTCAAACCCAACCCGGAGCTCCCATAATCGCACTCTCCTCTCCACTTCCCTCGTCATCTCAACACCGTATAATCAAGGACTCTGCATAATCCTTCAGCGAAGCGTCATCTGTTCAATCCTCTTGGGAACTGCAGTGCAGGCCGCTTCTTTGGCAGAAAAGTTATCCGAACACAATGATGGAAGCCCCAGCCTCGATCGCAAACTACCAACTCCATCTGGACTTTCCGTCCAAGGTCCAAACGAACAGAGTTCGCTTGCACCAACACCACAGGTTTCATTACCAAAACTGCCACCACCGTCTCTAGGCATGGAGCACGGTATGCCACCACCACCAGGAGCGGCAGCTCCTGCGTCGACATCGGCTACCGCTGCGCAAGCAGGTCAATCAGCGACAGCTTTACATCAGATTCCACCTCCACCACCCTCACACATAATACCGCAACTAGGCTCTGCAAGCCACAAAGTTGTTTCAAACCATCAATCTTTTCAATTATCTCAGTCAAGTTTCCCAGGTTCTCCACCTTTACCAGCGTTATCGTTGCCCCAACAAAGGCCATTACCACCGCCGCCACCACTACCACCACTACCATCTCTATCAATATCCAAACCAAACCTTCCATCGCCTCTATCTTTATCAGTAGCCAAACAAGGACCGCCGAAGTTTCTAACTTTATCTTTATCTCACCAAAACTCTCTATCTCTTCCATCTTTATCGATATCTAAACAAGATCCTCCAACGTCTTTATCTTCATCAAAATCTAAAAAGAGCCCTCCACCGCCTCCAGAAAATGTACAAAACTCGCCAAGTTCTTCACCCGCACCAGTATCCCAAGAGGAACCTTATCCAACCACATTATCAGCTGTGTTCACAACATCTCAGGGCCCTGCAACGACCTCGACTTCCATTTCTTTCCAATCAGTCAGTAGATCGGTACCAGCAGATGACGTTGGTACCTCCACTAGTCAACAATCTGGAGTCTCGTCTCCACCACCGAGTGGAGTGCAAGCTGGTGTCACCCAAAGTCACGGTGAACCTAAATTCAACGTTTTTGCTATTAAAGCTTAATTCTTATATAACTCATATACTCAATAAATCCAATGTACGTATATATTTTTCTCAGCATACAATAAATAAAATTAAATAAATTTCTATAGGAATTTTTTTATTTCTTACAAAAAAAATTTCTTATGAAAGCACCAAAGTGCTAGACAAAAGCTAATTACAACAATGGGCGAGACTAAGAAGAGAAGACAGGAAAATGGCTCCTTAGTAATAATCTCGACTGCAAAATATGCCTTCTTAGCCAACGTCAAGCAAAATAAAACAAGAAAAAAAGAATGTAAGAGCAGCCGCTACCGCTGTTAGTTTAGTACAAAAGAAAAAAGAGGCAAGAGAAAAATGTAAAGCTACGAGTGTCACCTGACACCAATTATCTCGGGAAAGCACAAAGGGCAATCGGTATCGACCTCTATACTTATGTAATTAGTCGTGGAAAAGTCGAGGCAGTGGTAATAGTTGGCCCGGGGACATCCGGAGATAGAAAAGGATAGAAAGACAGAGGCCAAGAAGGAAAGGGAGAAGGAGAAAGATGAACGAGGAGGTGGAGTCACAAAAAATAAGAGGACGCGCTGACGACGAGAGGAATACAAATCATTCTTAAGTCGAGAGAGCGCTCACCCAGCTTAAGGATCAGTCGGCCACGTATAGTCAAAACCAAGAGATCCTGCCACCAGTATAAGCCCTCTTATTACTGGACTTTTTACTCTATAGATAGATGGTAGGATTAGGTACACCAGCCCATATGTATTTGTATTGAACGAGTTGTAGATTTGAAAATGGCAAACAGATTCGTTCGTTATGCCATGGCAGATACTTTCGCAAATGTAAATTTCTACTACTAAAAATGAAACTTGAAAAATAAACTTCGCGTGAAAAGAATAAAAAGTGGATCATTAAACGTAACACCTTGCATTTTTTCCAAGAAAAGAGGAAATATCTCTTAGAACTTGTTTTTTTTCGACTGGGCTTAGTAAGACAGTTAATAGGTCCTTAAGTCGACAGAAGCCCAAGGAAGAGTCTAATTTTGGGCGACGCTGCGAAGTGGATCGTTTTGTCTCGTTCCTCGCTAAGCCTCTTCCTATCTTTGAGACGGCAGGAAAATCGGTGCCTTTTTCCTTTGCCCTCTCATCTACGTTTGCCCATAAGGCGGTCGCCCAATTAGACTCGACTCTATGGAATTACTACAATCTTTGGCTGCGTGCGCGGTCGACTGCTGTTGTTTCGACGTCGCTATCGCCGTCCTCGTCGCAGGTAGAAGGTGCGCATTATTGTGTAATTTCGATGGCGGTCTTTTAATTTTATAATTGCATCTACGCGCTACCTGCCTATAGTTCCAAGAGTTTTGTCCCTGTACTATTAGTGGTTGGGAGAGGCGGGATACATCTACTACCTGCAATGTCGCTGTCGAAGACAACTATCGCACTTCCGAGATCGACTGGTTTGTGCAGGTGCAGAAGACGAGCCGTTTTCAAATACATTATAGACTTTTGTTCGGAATTCATCTTAGTTTTTTTCTCTCCATATTTTAGGTGCATTTTCAAAATGAATTTTTCATGTCGCTGTTTTGAGATTATAGAGTTCTTGTTTGAATGACTCGTAATTTTAGCATTCTTTTAATCCAGCTTTAAAATTATATAATGCACATTCTTTTTTTACTAACGTAATTACATTATTTGGATTCTCATTTAAATCCTTGGAAAAAACGGATGCATAAAAAAATCAATAAAAATAAAAAATAAAATAGAAATATTAATGTACCAAAAATAAAAGTACGCGTAACGTGGAAAGCACCGTCAGTATCGTTGAACAAAAAGGAATTGAAGCACTCGTAGGATATGAAAAGAAAATAAAAAGACAAATGTTTATAACGTTGATATGCCTGTAGAATGCCTCGGTAGATATGCAAGACTCGTATAAGAATTTCCGTGGAGGTTGCGTATTAAGGTAGCACTGGGTGGGCCACTCGAGCACGTCGTCGTCGTCGTTGGGAGAGCACGTCGACATTGCAGTCGCATCAAAAATGCATCAAGTGCGCAAAGGGCACGGGAGAGAGAGAGAGAGAGAGAGAGAGAGAGAGAGAGAGAGAGAGAGAGAGAGAGAGAGAGAGAGAGAGAACAAGCCCTTGAATTGAAAAATCGTTGAGACCACTTTATTTCCCGTGAGAGATATACTGAAAAACATACCCAGTCATTTTTCCGTTAGCCAGGCACATATCTTACTCACATTTGATATTAATTATTCATTTTGCATACGTCCGACAGAAATAACAGATGTGCTATTTTGCGACAATGTTCTTTTCAAGATTTTATTAATGACCATAACGCTCAAACTGTATATTAGGTTTCGCTTTTTTCGAATAAACCACTTAGTAACTTATTTGAATAATATACGGACTACGACGGAGACCGAGGCATGTAGATACCATTATATGCTCCAAGTCTTCGAATAAACGGGGCAACAATCAAACAATCAGCTTGATAACTCTCATCGACTGCCAGTGGCTAAACATTTAAGGAATACGTTAGCAGTTCCTCGAAGACTAACCTGCGCATTAGATGTTTGCGTGTCTCTATTCATTTGCACAGTTTGGTTGTTTTTTCTTCAAACGCAGCGAGAAACATTCGCGATTAAATGAGTTTTTAATTTAGTGTGACGCCCGGGCATTAACGAGCGGCGCTCCGACATTAGAATTCTCGAAGGGCAGACAAACGCACCGGCTATGAATAATATTACGCAGGAACACTAGGCATAACTGCTTGTAACCGAGCTGTTCGCCTCCCCCTTTTTCTCTTTCTTCATTTTCGACGTGCTGTTCTTCTCTTTTTTTTTAATTTTTTTACGGACGCGAGCATATCTTGTTTTCGTCTGGCCGAAAGGGTCGGCCCTTATGTGTGTTTCTTCTCTTGTACGCCAACTAATGTAATATGTATCTCGAGAATAGACTTCTGTTAAAAGTTAAAAAGTCAAAATAGCTAAAAACAGTCGTTTAACTAGGGCCTCATTTTATGTAATTAACGGAAATAGTTTCTAGTTAAAATTATACTAATATAGCAATCGATTATTTATTTTTTATTCACATTAAAATTAATTTGCCAGCTAGCACCAGTTACGAAATTTTCTCAATTAGGATAAAATGATTATTTGCGCAATTTGGTGAGAGTGACAATTTATGAACTAATTATGTGATTAAAAGTTGATTTATCAACTTATTTACATGCACTACAGCATACTTTCCATTGACTTCAAAATAAATGTTTTAACTGAATTCTTTTCAATAAAATTGAAATCATGGAATTTCATTGACCACGTAAATTTGACATTTGATTACTCTTTATTAACTCAACTTTATTTAAATGAAAATGCATGTTCGCTGAAAATACATTTTTGAGTTGACTGCATCTTACTCCACGCATTAAAAAGTTAATACTTTTATAATTTGCTCGTTAGTTAATATTGGGGAAAAAGAAGCTCATGCAAAAACGGTGTATTTGCAGTGAAAGTTCATAACTTGTCCCGCGGGTGTATCATGCGAGATGATTAAAAGCGCACAATGGCAAAAGAAAACGAGGAATTTTAATTTAAATTGAAGGAAAAGAAGCAGAAAGACACTTTAATATAGTCCCAGGTCCGTGGCACTATGCTGCTGCGGTTCTCTCGACGGAGATTCAAGACAATGTATCTCTCGAGATGGAATGCTCGGCTTATACGCACCGGAGATACGCACACACGTATATGAAAAAGAAGAAGAAGCTGCAGCAATGTGTGTACGCATACATATCATACACACGCGAGATGGGAGGAGAATTCATCTTGTCTGGACTATTTAGAAGAAGAACGGGTAACCATTCTGTTTTTCGCGTCATGCAAAAGCGCTCGATTATCAACGGGATAAATCATACGCGGCCATGGGAGGGGCGCTAATGAAATTCGGCTGTGTTCCTTTCTTCCTTCTTCCCTTTTTTCTTTTTCTTCGCTCTACCCTATTTCTTCCCCTGTTTTTTTTCTTTTTTGTTGTTTTCTTACCTTTTGCTCTGATGATGTATACGCCAACGAATAGTTGCCTATCGAAATCGACGATATTTATGTATTTGCGCGTACCGTTGTGGGTGGGTTTAGTTTCGATCTCGTTTGACTTCTCTCTCACTCTCTCTCTCCCTCTCTCTCTCCCTCCTTTCATATCTTAGATCGATCTCGGTTTCTAGCCATTTTATTTTGGGATGCATGGGAAAAAATGCGTTTCAATGTAACGAATTCGCATAGTTTCAAATCTTTCATAATAACTCAATATCGAATCAGTAGAAATCTATAGACATCCGTTCGACTAAATTCGACTTTCGATATGCATGACTATTCTTTAAAAAAAAGAAGAATTTATAGAAATGCGGTGTTTGTTACGAATATTTGATATGTAGCTTAAATCAGAGAAACTACATCTCGTAAATGAGTGGACTTGGGTACTTGCTTGAAAATTCCCAAGTGAAACAGGTGAATTTTATTGCAATGCACGAGCGACATTTGACACTTAATGGTCAACGAAGGCCCGCTTCTGCTGAATGATACGGATATTCTTTATTCCACTGCAAATGTGCGCTCGACTCGATGTTACACACGAGGCAACGAATGCGCAATACTTTATTACCGCCTGTGCATGCAAGCGCATATGTGCGCTTGAGCTCGTTAATATCACAAATACACAAGCGCGACTGCTGCTGCCGTGTGTTTCTACGCCAGTTGACGCTATTTTGTTTTTCGCTAATTTGCCCGGCTCGAAAATCCTGGAAAATCAAAATGAATGACGGCGCTGTTGATGACGGCTATACTTTTTTCGTCTCATTTTGTTTTATAAAAGAGCCTGCTGCTTTTTGCGATTCGACTGCAGCGATTGGAGGTAAACACGCAACACTCGGTAAATAAGCCTTGATTACCATAGTAAACAGCAAACTGAATTTTGGTATGAAACGGCTTCCTTCCTATTCGTTTGTTCGAAAATGCGATAAAAAGTTATTTGTTCATCCGGTAAATGCTGGAAAAATGGTCTTATAATTGAGTAATTCGTGGTTAAATGTGTATATGTGGCATATCAATTTTTTTA